GATAGATAGATAGATAGATAGATAGATAGATAGATAGATAGATAGATAGATAGATAGATAGATAGATAGATAGATAGACAGACAGACAGACAGACAGACAGACAGACAGACAGACAGACAGACAGACAGACAGACAGACAGACAGACAGCTGTGCCTGAGTCTGAAAAAACCTGAGAGTTGGATGAAATGCAACATGAGAATTCTGCAGATGTGTTAACTGTATCAGGTTAAGCACCACACATTAAAGTAGCACAGTTAGTTTGTTTTTTGTTTATTTTAGAAGAGAAAAGACTGAATTGGGCCGTTGGGCTGAAAAAGTCAGACATTGGTTCCAAATGGGCAAAGGATTTGGATTTTGGTCGCATTTACCTGCAGTGTGAAGGTAGGTACTGTATAAATATTGACATAGATAATTCTTTCCAAAAATAACAATAACATCTAATAGTGCTGCTTACCGTCTCTCCAGCTACTTTCCTAATCAGCACTTTTTTTTTCAGTACTGTGGATAATTTGTCCAGTGCCTCTTGCTTCCAAGATTCATACTTCTTTCGCTCATAGTCCTTGGTGCGCTTTGCCAATTCCCTACACTTGTCTTTGGCCTAATCACAACACCAACAAAAAAGTCAGAAAGGGTTCTGTTACTTATAGGCTTCCTGAATTCTTGCATTAAATGTAAAAAAAAAACATGAGATTGTAAAGTGCTTTACCTTTGAGGTCTGTTCACTGCTAATGATATCTGGTTCTTTTAGGAAGAGAAGGAGGGTTTGTTCGACTTGACCGACAAGAGTCCGAGCCCAAGTTATAGCTCCAGCAGCAGGAGGCCCAATTTTTATCAGAGGCGGTTGTTCTTTCTCTGCTTCAAAGTTTTCTATCATGCAATCCACCTATAACAGGATCAACACAAAATGCTGCAGTTAAAAAAAAAAAAAAGACGAAGAAGAAACTGATCAGATGCAGCAAATGAGCAAAACATAAGGACCCTACAACATTTTACCCATATATCTAATCCAATGACCTTTAAACTGATGTGGACCAAATAATTTGCACTTGAAGCTTTGGATAAAAAAATAACCAATTTGAAGGAAATGGCAAAATTATACGTTTTTTTTCCCTCTTTAAGTACATCACCTCTCTGCAGTACAGTTTCACGACATTGTCAGTTATTCTCCTCATCAAATCGTTGAAAATGGTCTCATTGGTAATGATCTTTTTGGCTTTCTGCAGCATTTTAAAGGCAGCAGCTGAAGAATGCAGGTTTTCAAAATTCAGATCAACAAAGTTGATAACTTCATCATTCACAGCCTGAGAAAAAAAAAAACATGGAAAATAACACAACGTGCAAAAGCCTCAAGACAGAAATGTTTTGAACCAGTGAAATGCATGACATCAACCAGAAGCAGCAGGATGAGGCAAAATAATAATCATGGAATAACCAGCTTTTCGTTTTTTAAAAATGGGCAAAAGGATGCAGTTATGTTAGATTTAAGCCAGTCTTTGGTAACTCTCTGTTGCCCCCTTGTGCCTGTCTCCTTTCCCCTAGCTCCCTTCTAGTCACCTCTATCCACACCTGCTCCATATCATCTGATTACGCCAGTCTTTGTTCTGACTCGACGTGTAGTTCCTTAGTGCTGGTTCAATGTTGTTGTTAGTTGCTTCCTTGTCACTGGCTCCCCACATGAGTTTCCCTGACGTTTGCTGGTTTTTTGGTTCTCAGTATTTTTGTGTTTTGGATGTTTACCTCAGATTTTCATTAAATCTACAAGAACTCATCTCTGACTCACTCATTTAATTAGTTTTGTAGAATCGATAGAGGTCCAGTTAAGATTTCAGATTTTTGTTGCAAGGTCTGGTTTTTAATTCCATTTTTCTTTTATCCAGTTTTCTTTATTTCATTAGTTTAATGCTAAGTTCACACCTAAAGCAGCAGAGGCAGCAGGAGCAGCTAGTTTACATGCAAAGTCAATGGTTGACACGCAATAAGGCGCAGCAAAATGTCCCGCAGTGCGTTTTGAGCAGCTGAAGCAGCACTTCATGAGCTTATGAGCATCTGACGCACGGGACGCACTGCAAACGCAGCAGCTGCTGAAGATGGGAAAATGTAACTTTTGCTGCTTGACGTGCCACATTAACCAATCAGAGAAGCTGATCTGGGAGATGGCAGGGAGACAGGCACATCGCTGATGGTACAGATCACTCCTCTGAAACAATTTATTAACGCCTAAATTAATTTAAAATGCCGAAACCTGCCGGCAAAACATGTTGACTTTTATTATCCTGGTGCCTGCAGTTTGGATTATGTATGTGAAAACGCCTTCCAGCCGCGGCGGCAAACAGCGAACAGACAACCGGGCCATAGGCTGCTGTTGAATGGGATTCCTAGTGACAGAGCACCAACGGTATGTGGGGGTCTGACCGGCTCCGACATCGAAATAATATTTGAAGGCAAGATCTTAATCTTGATGAACAAACTGCACAGATGTAGTTTTCAGGTGGACTTTCTCACTTAAAAACATATTAAAACTACTTTTTAACCACTGATCATAGCAAATATAGCTGCCATTGTTACAGGCAAAGAAAGGATAGGGTAGCTCCGCCCAACGCGCATCAGACCCACTTTCCCACCCAATAGCGTAACGACACAACAATAGGCCCATAAGCAACATTATGTGGGCGGGCCCTATATGAAGTACACATTTTTCGCCCCATTACATCTGCAAAAAGACGTCCTAGTCCACAATTGCGTAGGGGGCCTACCAGGTGTCAGTGACGGGGCCCCTAAGAGGTTGGGGGCCCCTAAGCAACTGCAGTCTCTGCTTTCCGATATTTATGCCATTGTTTCCACCGCACAGCTAGAGCAGCAAAGATGCTTCAGCTGCGCGTCAGAACTAAACTTGTACAAGGATAAAAAATTAAGCAGCACGAGCGTTTTTGCTGCTTGCGGTCTGAACGTAGCATTAGTTAACAATAAAACCTTGCTCCCCGCCTTAAGAGTCTTGCTCAGATCATCCTGTTCATCCCAGCAGCCTTTTCCCTCTATTGCATGTGATGTATAACATTAATTTGAATCAGCTGCCTGCCTCCTGCCTGCACTAGGTATTCCTCGACAGTAACATGACAGTAACAATTATTTCTATCAAATGTTCTTAACCCACCTTCACTGTGTCTTCAATAATCTTTTTCCAAATGTATTTTTTCGACATGTTAAAAGGGTTAAAGTTGGCTTCTTGAAAGGGCAAAACAAACTCATCCACTTTCTTTAGCACCTTGTTGACATGGTGGACTCCAGTAAGCTCTAGAAAAATGATGTTGTGGTACTCCTCCAGCACCTGAACAATCCACAGCAATCCATTAAAACATATATGGCATTGACTTAAACTAAGTTGTGTAGAATTTGTGTTTTGTCAACATGAGACTGGGAAAATGTGGCTGTACACTCACCTGAAAAACCTTGCCCAGGTCTTGGCAGATTGAAGCCACGTAATCGGACCTTTCAAAAAGTCTTTTACGATCAAATTCCCAGCGAGGGGCTCGGCCTAACTTTTCAATCTCAGCCCGTGTCTCAAAATACGACATCTTCCATTGCTCCAGGGCTTGCTTTGCCTCAAGCACTTTGCACTTTGCTTTTTCCCTGTTTTCACTGTACAAGAGAAAATATTCAAGTTCTTATATAAATAAAGAACACTGATTAAATAGAAAATATCCTGGACAATCCTTTCATATTAGGAAGCTAACTATTTTAAAAAGTAGTACACACTTATTTATTTATTTTTTTTTTTTGCTTAATTATACAGGGCTAAATAATTAAATAAGATAATTTGTGGAAATTCTGAAAAGCAAATTAGATCAAATTCAGTCTCGATATTGCATTTTTGAGTATTGACCTTATCTTCTTGATATCAGACAAATATCAATGTTGGACCGGGACGTCCCTAATAGAAAGCTCAAATCTATTCCATAAATTCAATTCAAGCTGATCCAATCAAATACAACAAAGTCAAATATGCTCACATTCAAATAATTCCAGTTAAATAGAATCATTTCTCCAGGTTTCAGGAAACAAGAAAGAGAAGACATACTTGAATATTTCATGAATATTGATTCCTTGAACCACACGCTCACACAGCTGCCAAGCAATGCGCTCCATCAGAGGGACCATTCTTTCATTATAGTTATAGTGGAGAGACGTTAACCACACGATCTTCAAAATCCCCATGAGATCAGGGATGGTGTCACGGATCATAGCAAAGTTTTCACCCGATGCAAAATTCTGCAAAAGTCAGTGACAATGAGGATCACACCCGATGAGAATTTCCTGCAAGCTCTGCTTTTACTAGTTTTTAAAGAAAGGAGTCTGTGTGTGCAATGCTACGTTCACACTGCAAGCAGCAGAGGCAGCAGGAGCAGCTAGTTTAAATGCAAAGTCAATGGTTGATGCGCATCTTAGCATAACAAAAGGTACTGCAGTGCGTTTTGAGCTGCAGCACGTCTGAGCAGCTGAAGCAGCACGTCATGAGCTTCTGAGCATCGGATGCGAGCGATGCGCTTCAGAAGCAGCAGCTGCTGGAGTTGGAAAAATTGAACTTATGCTGCTCAATGCGCCACATCAACCAATCAGAGAAGCTGATCTGGGAGATGGCAGGGAGTCAGACACAACACTGCTGATGCAGATTACTATGATCACTCCCCTGAGACAGTTTATTAACGCCTAAATTAACTTAAAATGTTGAAACCTGCCAGCAAAATATGTTCAATTTTAGGGTTAGTGACATGTGACATGTAATATGTGACAAAACGCTAACATCTCGCGAACAGTAGCGGAAAACCACGAAGAGGTGACCGCGCCAGAGGCTGCTGTTGAACGGGATTCCAGTGTACAGGGTCTATGCAGCTCTGACAGCGAAATAATATTTGAAGGCAGGATGGTAATCTGGATGAACTGACTGCACAGAGGAAGCTTTGAGTTGGACTTTTTCACTTACAAACATATTAAAACTACTTTTTACTCTCTGATCACAGCAAAAATAGCTGCCATTGTTGGAGGGAATGAAAGAATAGGGTAGCTCCGCCCAATGCGCATCAGACCCACTTTTCGACCGTGCAGGTAAAGCAGCAAAGATGCTTCAGCCACGTAGCAGAATTTAACTTGTGCAAGCATAAAAAATAAAACAGTGCGCGCATTTTTGCTGCTCCTGCTGCTTGCGGTGTGAACGTAGCATAGGAAATGTTTTGAAAATGAAGCTTAAAGAATAGAGCCATCTTACCGTAAAGTGTCTCTCCAGTATTCCAAGAAAGTTCCGATTATTATTGGATTCCATGAAGTATTTTGTTAGTTCTGCAGTTGTTTCATTGAAGGTGTGAATACAGGCTGCGTTTGCTTTGTTCATCACCTTGATGATCTTCTCTACTGCGGGCTGTTTAAGCTGGTCACTCAGAGCATTGAGGACAGAAGCACGCTCCTGCCAAAGCTGTATGTCAGCCATAGGCCCCGGTCCCTGCAGGAAAATTAGAAAAGGAATGTTTTAGAAGTGATCTAAGATTATCTTACTTTGTTGTTTCTAACAAAGTTAGTTAAAAGGTTGGTTTTAACCAGCTTTGCAAATCTGTGGCTTTTTCCAACGTTTCTCAGACAAGATTATGCTTAAAGACAAAACAAAGAATGAAACAAAACAAAACAAAAATATGAATTCTAACCTGGTGTGTTTTGTTCTGCAGTTCCTCCATTGCAACAGTAATCTGACTCTGCCAGTTCATCACACTCTGCTCTAAGGTCTCCAACACCTCTGGATTTTTAAGCAGCACATCCACCTCCGGTTTCAAGTCGACGTCTGGGATTTTGAATCTATTTTCATCTAGGAAAGATAAATCTCATATAATGGAAATTGTCTTTTTTCTTCTCAATGATTACAGATAAAATAAGTAAAAACAATACATTTGTTTTGGTTGCTCTAAATATTTCCCCCAATATATATTTTATAGTGCAATTGAAGCCCTTGGCTTTGACCTGTCAAAAACAACTGTAGTCTATATCCTTTTACATGTCCATTGCATACAATTGGATTTGTTTAAATTGCAAAAATTATTACGAGATTTTAAATTTTGTGCAGCAAAATAACCACTGGTGTTATGCTCAAAGACGTTCACTGTACACACCTCTCAGTGTAATGCTTTTCTAAGGAAGCAAATGTGTTTTCAAATTGAAATGGATCACTAAAAATGCTTTTTCATTTTCAAAATAAAGCTCAATTTTCACCTTATAAAAACTATTTAAAATAAATCATCAGGACTGCATTTTAATTTTCTTCACAAAGACTGCTCAGTTTGTAAATTAAATTATTGGTTTATAAATTTAGGGCTGTACAGTTGACCAGTGGGTAGCACTGTTGCCTTGCAGGAAGAAGGGTCTGGGTTCCTTTCTGCATGTAGTTTGCATGTTCTCCCTGAGCATGCGTGGGTTCTTTCCGGGTACTCCAGCTTCCTACCACAGTCCAAAAGGATGACTGTTGTTTTAATATAATTGGCTTCTCTAAATTCTCCTTAGGTGTGACTGTTTGTTTGTCCTGTTTGTCTCTGCGATGGAATGGCGACCTGTCCAGGGTGGACCCCGCCCCTCGCCCGTAGACAGCTGGAGATAGGCACCAGCACCCCTCGTGACCCAAGCAGGAATATTGGTGCATAAAATGGATGGTTGGATTTATAATTTTCAAAAGATAACCCAGCAAAAAGGTGTTAAAAAAACTAAATTTTGAATGGTTAACATGATTAACATAGCTGGGTACTGTTAAATCTCTATTTTGCTATTAAAGATAAAATGTTCTTGTTTTTTTACAGGGGTGGGGCAAGACTCCAGAGGGCCCTCAGCAAGATTTGATTTGGAGATCCTCTATGTTTGGTCCTAAATGTATTGTAACTCTTACATTCAAGTTTATGTATCATCTAATGTAATTAAATGTAAAACAAACTAGATTGCAGTTAAATTACAGTTAAAGTGTCATGGGGTTTATATTTTTTCGTTCCTATTACAACACAAAAGTGCAAAAATAACCTGTAGTGCAAAAATAACAAAGAAATTAAAAAAATTAGATAAAAATGGCCATAATTACATCATTAAACCCCTTCAAACTATTTGGAGCAAAACAACCTAACTGAAAATGTCTAACTGAATTCAAATCGAACTACATTGGGCATTCCCAAAGTCGGTCCTCGAGGGCCGCTGTCCGCTGTTAGAGGTTTCTCTGCTTTAGCACAGCTGATTCTGATGATTGCAGTTCAGCAAAAAGCCTGTTAATTAACTAGCAATGTAAATCAGCTGTGCTGAAGCAGGGAAAACTCTAAAACCGGCCCTCAAGGACCGACTTGGGCGTTGTCTGAACTACATGTATTAATCTGGGAAGGTTCCAGTAGAAAGTATTTGCAAAAAGGAGGGACACTGAATACAATTCTTTGAGTAGATTGGGTGCCTGCTTCCAATGTCAAGTCTAGAGCAATTCACAGCTGCAGTAGCAGCTTGTTTTCTATCATAACCAACAGAGTTAACTCACAAATTTAACTCTTACAAAATCAGGTCAGAGGGAACACCCAAACATCTTTCCCATCCACAAAGGCAAAAATTTTGTTCTTTCCCTCGTTTTTCAAAACAAAATAGAGGGTGTTGCAGCCAAAACAGGACAGCCATGTTTGTTTTGCTTTAGCCTTCCACCTCTGATTGACACGTTGACGTCATGCACGTCACTGCATTCATTGGTCCAAAATATTTCTGTATCGAGGCAAACATGTCAGATGGCTCCAGGCAAGATGTATTTTCAGGACTTTGACCTATTTTTGTTACTAAATTTACCTCAATACTCTTTAAAACCTGTTGTGTTTGCAAAGTCACTGATGACATCACTGTAAAGGTGTTTTTATCCTAAGCATCTATTATACCCAGCAAAGATTTGGTTGCTTTTGCTCATGAGACATTCCCCCAGCAATTTATGATCCATTATTTTACATGAATAAAGGTATATTGGTGTAATAAATTGCATAATTTTATAATAGGATAATATGTTTTTTTATTACATGTATACAGAGATCATTAAACATGAAAAAAAAACACAAATATGCAAAGAAACCTTTAGTTATTCTGAGGGCATAAGTACATAGCTGGTTAGTTGCATTGAGTTACAGGTAGCAATGCTCTTTTATATGAAAAAAAAAACACAAACCTGCTATTTGAAGGTGCAGTTGAAATGCATTGACGCTGGCCAGGAACTTGGTTGTGCTATGGAGCAGTTCATCACGAGCCAAAAGTTTTCCGACTGACTTATCCAAACTCCGCTCTTCACCATCTTTACACATCTGCTGCAAATAATCTTCCTTGCTCTGATAACGCGCTCCAGTATTTGACATCTGGTGTGAAGTGAACAAGGGCATATACACCTAAGGAGAGACAGTAAAAATATAGCGAATAGGTTCAATGTTAGGAGAGATTATACAGTCCTTATAGTTTAATGTTTGCAGCTGGGGTCAGAATTCTATCCAACATGTTTTATAAAACTTACACGAACAAGTCTGCTCTCTAGAGCCTGTTGGATGTCTCTGCAATGCATGTGGACATCCAACAGTCGTGGCATTTGGATGTGAGCTTCTTTCATGTCCTTTGGCTTATCAATAGTGTCTGTTGAAAATATAAACAACATTTCACTGCATCGGCATGGCTCTTGTTGGCTTAAACCTTTTCAAATATTTCAGCACTGAATAGTTTCTTACCCTTTGTATTTCTGACAAAGTATATACACCGACATTTCAAAGACTGCTTTAAGCTCTGGTTTACAGCTACATGAAGCTCATTGTGGTAGACCACTTTGACTTCTGTTGCCTAAAAAATACATCAAGCCGGAAATATGAAAAGTTTAGTTCATGGCAAAATTGATCCAAAACATGAGGCTAAGACACGAGTGAACAGTTTATCATGACTTCTTACTTGTTGCTTATCTGTCTCATCTGCGTCAGATGGGGTTTTGGTTTCGCATGTGAATGCCTGGTCAGGGTCTGAGGAGTCTCCATGTTTCCTCTCTAAGAGAATAGACAACAATTCACTGTTTAATGAAATAATATGTTTCTACTTTTAATAAAATGTAATCATGAATAATGGTAAAACAGTTAGCTCGTAACTGCTTTTATCATTTAAAGAACCAAACTCATCGAAAGGGAGGGGCTACCGGGTTAAGGAACCCAGAATAAGGCCCTCCTTTTAAGTTATGGCCCAGACCATCTTCTTTCTGTTTCAACAAAAAATGTTTTTAAAGAAAAACTAGACAAAAGTTTGATATTTAAGTTACATGTGTTATGGATCTCCCCTTTTTGACTCTGAGTTTTTAGCTTTCAGTTATTAATTATTCTGTTTTGTTGATCTTTGGTTTATTTTTCATTATATTCAAGAAGTCTTTAGTTACTCTCTGTTACCCCCTAGTGCTTGTTTCATTTCCCTTTGGCTTCCTTCTAGTTAGTTCGACTCACACCTGCTCCGTATTCATATTCATATTAGTCCATCCTTTGTTCTGTTCCCCATATATACACCACCTCTGCAGTCACTCAGTGTTGGTTCCTTGTTGTTGTTTTGATGCTTCCTCATCTCTGGCTCTCCATGTGGGTTTTCCCCTGAAGTTTTCTGGGGGTTTTGTTTTTGGTTCCTTGTATTTTGTACTTTGGATTTTTGACTCAGTTGCCTTATTAAATCTTCAAGACTCACCTCTGTCTCCTGATCTCTGCATTTGGGTCCTCAAAAACCTCCACCCTATCATGACAACATGAAATATTTTCCTATTATCATTTTCTTCCAATTTGAAATTGCAGTTTCGGGGAAGCACCCCCACCTCCCATTCCGACAAAATGCTGATGCTGCATTTTTAAAGCTTATTTAGCTTCTCTAGGTAAAATCCTATGTCTTCGCTGCGCTGCAGGTACAGTCAGGAAAGACTTTACTTGGACTTGAGCTTTTTGACTTGAAAAGACTTGCTACTTTCCATAAAACCCAAAGATTAAAAACAATGTAAACGGAAGGTTGTGTAACTTTTTTCTGTATGTGCTGTCAGCACAACATCAAATCAAATTCAATCCACATGGGTTTGTTCTAATAGCATCCACCCAATATAATACAGGACAACCCATGAATTTGAACTGTCAAAGATTGAGCCAGTTAAGGAGAAAATGTTTGAGTACTCCGATCTCCTGCTCTTCACTACCTTTGCTTCAGATTTTGGAGCTAACAGAGTCATGCGTGACACAAACGCAGTGACTCAGGTTCATGCCAGCGGACCAAATCTACATTGTTATAGTGTTATTGTGAAGTTTAATTAATAGAACATATATTCATTTGAGAGCTGATGTCTGTGTGTTATAGACTCTGGTTGTGTTCAATGAGGTATGTATGAAAATAAAGTAGTGAATCTCAATCTATTTTTTTATTTGAGTGAATGCTAAAAGAAAATTCAAAGCTAGAGGGATTTATTTCTCTTGAAAGGGGAAATAAACTTTTTTGAATTCTCTCATTTTTTTCTTTTTCTTCCAGACTGAGTTTACTGCATCGTTTTCAAATAGTGTTTTTTAAAGATTACATTCTCATTTGCTCTTGAAAAATAAAAATGCTGTTGCTAACATTCATGCAGACCAAAAGAAATATGTCTTTTAAAGAGATTCTGTTCTATAAAAAGCATGTGAAAAGAATCTAAATCATATACCCTAAAAACTAAATGCAGCTTCACTTGAATGAATTGCTTCAATTGGTAACAAGTAACTGAATCAAGTTGATTCAACTTATTTTATTAAGCTTAAATTGAAAACTTATATCAATTAAGTTTATATTTATATATATACCTTATCACTAATGCGAACTCGACTTCTCATAGGTCCTTAGGTAACTGACTTCGTTTATAAAAATATGAAATAATAAAATCATCATTAAACTGGCCATACCCAGGGGGACTTCTACTTCTTCCTCTCTAGTTGTTTGATAGATGAGGAGACATATCGACGAATCCTCATCGGTGACCAAGTTCAGAAAACGGATAATTTTCTGCTCTTCCTCGCCGCCTCCACGGCTGACCAGTTCATCGAATGATTCTGGATATTTAGTTAAATTGAACCCGGCTGTGACCCTCTGTCGAATCCACTCCACTCGCAAATCTTCGTGTACCATTTTGTCAAATAAAGTATCACATCTTTACAAAACCAATGTAACATTCAACTGAAAAATGTAGGTAGCAACTAACGTCGGGCTAACGGGTCGTAGGTTGCCTTGGTAACGGTTAAACAGTTTAACCACTGTTAGTTTTCATTGTTAGGAAGAGGAAGAGGCTGACCAAAAAGAGGAAAAGATTTTTCCCACAATATTTTTAGAAAATAGAAAAAGAAAATCCAGCAGTGAAATAAATTATCTTTGTGTTCTCACAAAGATAATTTATAAGACCTGCATTTAACCCCCCGTGAAATTGCAGTAAATGGTTTGGCCCTTAGATCCAGCACGTGCCATCAGATCCCTCCAGTCTGTCAACCCAGCACGACGCTAGGGCAGGCCATTTTGACATTTATTAGAAGCGCTGTCCTCTCTATTGTTCCATTTGTTGATCTCTAAAATAAGATTCTTCCTGGTCAAAACTACCTTCCTACTAGCCAGAAATGTACATATTAATATCCTAAATTACATTTTTGCCAGCAAAAAATACATTTCAGGCTGCCGAAATGGAGGCCCCATTTGAAAAAAAAAAAAAAAAAAAAATGGTACGTCTTTATTATGAGATACTAACTCATAATGTTGACTGTCATTGTCATTGTTATGATACTCAAATGATATTGATACTAATTGCAAGTGTTATTTGTGTATTTTTACATTTTTTACGTTAGATCTCAAGATTATTTTCATAAAAGATTAATTACTCACTTAAAATATTGCCAAATGATGTTATATTTGGGTTATTTGTTCATTTATTCACCTGACAGTTTAATGATCTGTGATTGTGTTCAGAAAGGATGTTTCATGTAGGGATTGAAAAAGCTGATTACTTAAAAAAGAAAAGAAAAAAAAGAGCGATGCATCTGCCTCTAGATGTCAAAGCTGGTTCATATATCTACATATCTACATATATAATCTGCATAGCATTGACTCAGTAAGGATTTATATAAATGTTTACTTCCACAACTCTGCGTTTTGAGCTAATTTGTGTTGTGGCATGAATCTTTCTGCAACTCAAATATCATGACACGATATGCATAACATGAATTTACCTCGCCTTGCTGGATAACAGTGCCCTTTCAACATTTGGCAGGCTGTTGTTGTGGGAAAATTTATATCTTTCTCTATTTATATATTAATATTCATATTTACTCACTATAAAAGTTTTCANAATGCTATATCAACAGTCTCTGGGCGCGCGTTCATGCATGTATGTGGTGCCACGGATGAAGGAAGGAAACACTGTAGGCTATAAAATAAAACCGTGCATCTTTAACTTACCAGAATGAAAATGCAGGGAACACACTCGCATTGACATCAGGATACTGTGGAAAGTTCTGTTCTGTCGTCTTACAGCCGCGATCCAAGCTAGCCGACGACTTTTTGTTATCTGTGAAACTTGGTCTCCGTGTTTGCGCCTCCAGGCAGGACAGCGGTGGAAAGTTATCCCATTTTGTAGGTTTTTCCCTCGGCGATCATGTGATGCGCTGTTACAGCCCACAATACAGCAACGGTTTACCATGGTTGAAATCAAGTTACGGTGAAATTAAACGAAATAAAACACGGCTGAGAGGGAGAACACAGGCAATAGTCTAAGGAAGCCGTAAAGTGCGCCGTCAACATGGTCACGACGACCAAGCCCTATTGCGAGGTAACGCAAAAGGTTTTGCGAGGTAACGCAAAAGTTTTTGCGAGGGAACGCAAAAGTATTGCGAGGTAATGCAAAAGTATTGCGAGGGAACGCAAAAGTTTTGCGAGGGGACGCAAAAGTTTTGCGAGGGGACGCAAAAGAAAAAAAATTCCCCATGTCCCCTAGGGGGCTCCGTATGATACAAATTTTGACACAGCTGCATTTTTATTTTCTTTATTTTTGAGCTTGCTGTTTATTTGATGTAGATAGTTTGTATTTAGATACTACTTGTTACTTCAATAAAATTGGAACATTTTAAGATTGTTTCATATTTCATTAGCATTGTGTTGGGGCGATGGGGACAGGTGGGGCTTGAAAATTCCCCCTTGTCCAAAGTGGGGAATGACAGAAAAGGTTTGAGAACCACTGCACTATACTAAGTAATAATAATGAATTTTAAATTCAGTGATGCTTTTAAAGAAACAAAACTCTAAACTCTTACAGGAAATTAATAATTAATAGCAAAAAAGTTAAATTAAAAAATTAAATTAAAACTATTAAATTATTACAGAAAAGAAAGTAAGTAGGGCATAAAATAAGGTGAAATTAAAAGTTTAAAACTGAAAAAACTTTTTTTTGTGGGGAAACAAGGAGGAGGTGCACCAACATACTGTAAGGCTTTCCTTCTCTCCGGTGCTAAATTCTTTTTTAATTAAAGAATCAATTTTTTTTTGTTTGTTTGAGAAGTGGCTAACCTTTTTGGACTGAGGTGGGGAGCTCCAGGACTGAAATCGCCTGGAGGCAGCAGTCAGTAAAGGGTTAAATTGATCAGCCATATATTTTATTTTATTTTCTATTTCCATAGACTTCCAACTATTCAAGAAAAGCTTGATAGCTTTCTCTTATTAGATTCCTTTCTGCATCTTGCAATGAAGAAAATGCTTGCTGACAGACTGACTTTCTTGACATGATTTTATCTATGGGAAAATGTCTAATGAGGGTGATAATGTACGGCCTGGTTGGCTTTCACTAAAGATGTATGTTTTAGAGTCAAGTATGATCATTTCTGATGAAATTAGAACCAACCTTAAATATCTAAACCAAAAATTCTTCTTTTTAAAAGAGAAAAACTCAGCAACAACTACCTTTTCCTATGTCGGCTTCAGGACTGGAAAACAAAACGTTTATTATCAGGCCTGTGGTTGTTTAAAAACAGGACAGGTCTCGTTTTGTTCATTTCCTGCTGTCACCATGTTCCATAATGTTATGGAAGGAACTGGAGATTAAAATTCAGGCAAATCCAGAGAGAGATTAAAGGGTCCAAACATGGTCTGACACAGTAGTTTTAAAA